GTCTAGGGGTCTCGGAGAGCGGCAGTGCCGCGTTGCCTCCTTCCTCGCCTCGGCTCCCTCCCCCTGAGCCGGGCAAGGTCCTTGGCGTTAGGCGTTGTGGGGACGCGCCACGGGTGAGGAACGATGAGGCCGGGGTGAGCCGTGCTGTCTCCGGGGGGTGGCGGTCGTTGCGTGGCTGGTTCTCCTTCATGGGAAACTTGCTGTGCTTTAGGCTCTGGAGGCCAAGATTAAAAATACAAATTTGGGTACACTGGGCAGAAAAGGCAAGTTAGAGTGTGCGAGTCCTGCCAGAGCTGTTGTGCTTCCTAGTGGAGTGTGTGGTGTTAGTCAAGGGACCTAAACCACTTTGTCTTTGATGTGGTTTGAGACTGAGTTCAGCTGAGGTTGAGGGTTGTGCAGCTTGATTCCACATCAACTTCAGCGGAACTTCAGAGCCCTGGCAGCGTATTAGTTTCAGGTGGAAAAAACTAATTTTAGCTTTGTGTTGTCATTCAGAATGGTTGGTTGCGTTCATTCTAATACTGGAAGGTACAGACAGGTCTGACTATTTAGTACGTGGTTTATGGGGTTTTTTTCTGATCTTCTATTTTTCAACCAGTCAACTTTCTCCATTTACCGGTGACATCTTTAATATTGATTTTAATTAAAACATAATAAATGTAAGTCATCTTGTCTCTCCCTGGATGCTTTTGATGTGACTCACCGTATACAGTTAGGTGTTTTTCCTCTGAAAGGGAACAAGTTCCATTGGTAGGAAATTATTGCGTAACTTTTAACCAGTAGCATTATATTTAGAATTCAGCGTCACACCAGTTCTGCTTTTGTTAAAGTTACTAATTCTCAGGATAAAATCCTGGCAAATGGAAAGCAGGCTATAACAGATTATCAGTCACATCAAATTAAGAACAGTGACAAATGTTTAAATCTGGCTTTAATTTAACAGATTATCTTCAATTTGGAACTGCCCATCTTAAATACTAAAGCTGGAACTTCAGTCAACCTGTGCTGGTGACTTGTCCCACTGAGAGTGGATCGAGTGTACTAGGCAGAGCAAAGATGGAGTAACTCATGTCCTCTCCTCTTATCTTGACTCTATTTTGATAGACTTCTGGGAAATACAGTCAATACAGCATCAGCTACAAAGCACAGTCTGTAGCTTGTGATTCTGTGGTTCTGTTTGTGTTTAGTTAATGAATAGCAGTGTGTTTTAGTGAAGTAACTTTCTAGTTCTATGTGAAAATGCCCTAATCGAAGATTGTTCTTTTTATAGAAGAAAATAACTACAAATTAAAAAAAAAAGAATAAGATGTACAAAAAAATTTAGTGTGGCATTTTCCCTATTTTATCCCAGTTTCTTTAAATGGAATGCTACTATAAAAGATAAGCTTCCCCACAGTTTAACTAAATCTTTAAAAATAGGCAACTACAACCATTAACGTATGTTTTGCTTTCTGAGTGCCTCTAGCATTATATATATGCACATCTATAACATCATCATCATAAACATATTTTTTTTTTACCTTGCCTATGTAATATGAAATAATTACATGTATCATTTTGCACACTCGTTTAACTCTGACAAAGCTGGAAAACTGCATTTGTATTGGGGCAGAACTGCAGTGCAAAACTGAAGGTACTCTTTCCTAAACAATGTATAGAGAATCTTTGGGTGCTGTATATTTGCATCTTGGCATTTTTAAAGATACACGTGACTAAGTTTCAAATCAGCATCTCTTTTATCTTAACGCCATGTTATATTTGCCCTATCAGTGTTTGCTCTGTACCTGTGTTTAAACGATATATCTGTGAGTGGACAGAACATAACTGAGGAAGACTTGGAGTAAAAAGCTAGCTGTATTTTTGAGATTTTAGTAATCTGTGTTCATACTCCCTGCTGCCCAGAGTTCTGTATATAAACTTCCTCTCAAAGTTCACCATACCGAAGCCAATAGTTAAAACTTTGTATTAGTTTTTGTAATAAAAGTGCCTTAGCACTTAAGTTACAGAACAAAACCAAAAGGACTAGGATAGTATTTCAGTTAAACTTTAGCAAGTTACCCTCTAAAGAATAAGAATTAGATCGCAAGTTAGTTTCTTTGATTAGTGAAGTGAAAAGCAAAGGGATGAAATAGCTGTAACGCTTCAGGTGAGACGTACCCAAGGAAGATCAAATTTAAAATCATGCTAGTTTGTTATTCAAATGTTTTTAAAACAGAAATCCTGCCTCTTTTTAAAGCATAGATGAGACAATGTATAGTCTTCTGTGTCATACATGAAATTGACTTGAAACAATGGACATGTTTTTTGTAGCTGAATCCTTAAAATGCCAATTAATGCTTTTTTAACTTATATTTTAGAAACCTAACATTGAAATATTTAAGAAGTGAATGCCTCTGGATTTTGGAACAAAATTGGTATGTATATTGAGCCTGTCACTAAACATTTGCATTTTTGCTGTCAGTGTTTGTTTCCTGTGGTTTCAGGCCTGTGGAAATGAAGAAGGGGACATACAGTAGTCAGCGTGACACATAACAATCAATGTGTATTTTTTTTTTTTAAGCAACTTGTTGATTCACCCCCTTTATCCTCCATGAAAAGCTTTATGGCTAGGAGGGCATTAAATAGGTGCTATATTTCAATGTCAGAAACACAAAACTTCGCATGTAAATAAGCAGAATTGGGAATAAAATACCCCAGAACAGTTCAAAAGATGCTGGATGGCAGTACCTGGAGTAACTATTATTAACGTCTTGTCAAAACAGACCTTTGTTTAAAAATCCTTCTGTGTGAGTCATGTCTGAATCTTGTGTTGTTTAATGTTAGTGATCTGGCTGAAAGGACAAAGAAATAATGTCATTGAGCGGGGAAGGGTTGCCAGTGTGTAAACTCAGATTAATGTTTTCAGGAAACATTTCTGACAAAAAAATGCTTTTTATAGGAGTACGTGAAAGTTATGCACTCAGGCGGGAATAATTTGCTATACAAATACAGTGTAGAGAGCTGTAGTTCTGTAGAAAAGAATGTAGAGGTTATACTAATAAAGAAGTTGAAGAGTCAACAGTAGATAACTGCTTAGAAAGGGCTAAGTGACCTCTTTTGTATCGTCTGAAAAGGTGTGTAATCTTCCACTATATTGCGCAAGCAATAATTCAGCTAAAATTTGGGAGTTGCACTTCATTTAAATTAAAAAGAAAAAGTGGACTATACTGGGCAAGGACTCAGAGCACCAGGCACCTAACTTGCAGAGTAATGTTAAGATGTAGGTGCAAAGATAAAGGGCGTTGTATCTTTTCCAAGTCCAGAGTAGACAAATGTAGTCCACTTTTTGGACTTTGGTAGTCAAAGTGAAGATCTAGGTGAAAATAATGAGATAATGGGAGTTTCTAGCAGCATCGAAGCATGGCTGCAGTGTTTAGTAAAGTTTCCTTCATAACTATTTCCTGGGACAAGCTTGGCTGAATTTAATGTAACGAGAAGCAGCAGTGAATGGTGGTGTAGGTAGCGAAGGGTTGAAGTAAATGGCCTGTTACGGTCCTTTTTAACTTGGTGACATCGTCCTGTTCACAGTTAAGATCAGATTTTAGACAAGAAATTGTAGCATTTAAATATTTTAGCTTATATTTAGATTACTTCTAGGAAAAACAGACTGCTGAACTCTTGAGGACTGGATGCCAAGTAGGCAAAGTTGGAGCAATCCACCGTGTTTACTTCACTGTTACTGCTTGCGTACTATGTACAACTTGTGAAAGCACTGCTAATTTTCTTTGGCTGATAACTCCCTTGTACTAACTTATGCTTATCTGCTTTTAAATGTAAAATATTCTTTCATCTCATGACACCACTTTTAGTGTTACTGAATATTTAGGGAGCTTACCTGTGACAATAAGTATATAACATCTTTTTGAGTGTGTTGTCACTGCAGTGTTGTGCACTGAGAGTTAGGATTCATGATACTAGATGAATCACAGGCAGTTCATAGATGGGTGGTTCTTCAAGGCATTGTAAAATGTTGCAGCTTCTGTGGATGAGAAAAAGTCTCATCCCCTAATTACATCTGTAAAATCAGAGCAGCAAACCAGTATTCCTCCATGAGCCTGCTAGTCTTGGATGGATGCAATATTCTCTGTGTTAAAACCAGTTGTGAACTTGATTAAAGAACCTTTGCAGAACTACAGCTAAAACCTCTGTCAGTTTTGTTTAACTCCTACATTTTCTAGCTTCTCTCCTTTTTATAACTTAGTAGTGGACCTGGCTGCTGGAATGGGACATCTTTGGCATGTCCCAAAGCTGAAATGTGAGAGGAGTATTTATTTCAGAAGCTGCTCATTTCATGGCATTTTCTTTTCTTATATCCAAATATAATACTTTTTCTTGATTATATTTACGAGGCTGCATTAGTTCCTCTTCTTTTATTAAGTCTTAGGGTTGGAATTGAACTACTAATTTCCTGAAGTGTAAAACTTCCTGCTATTGCTTTGACTTCAGAGCCATGTGTGTCAGTTCTGCACATGTGAATTACATCTGTGCTGTATGCAAAGTGAGCCAGATCTCTTCAGAGAGAAGTTGTGTTCATCAGCAGCATGCTGCAGAAATGGTCAGCAACTGTAGACATCTGTATAAACCTTAGATGGAAATATGGCAGTCCAGCCCAAGCAGCAATAGGACTGGCCGTGTCTGTGTGGACAAATAAACTTAGAAGAGGTAGCATTAATTTATGTGAAGTGGTTAAGATTTGAGTTGTTTACAAGATTAATGATGTGGTTGACAGGGAATCAGAAACTCTTTAATGTATTTGGGACTTGAAGGAGAGTGGAACTACTAGTTTTGAAGTGAAGGACGCTTAGGACATTTTTAAGTCTAAATTCTGAATATTACCTGTTAGCTTGCAAGTTTTCCTCATTCTTCTGTGCTATCAGATTCTGCTGCTGCTGTGGAGAAAAGCAGCCTGTGCTTCTCCCTTGTCTCTGAAATGCAGTGGGTGGAAGATGTCAGGGTGGGACTAACTGGTGCTCTTTACCTCTGTCAGAAATGTTTTTGTGTAGATGACGCTATGCAAGCTGGGATGGGGGTGGGGAAGTGGTTTTGCCAGTGTGGTGAGTTCTGTTTTAGTAAAAAGCTACTCTAGTGAAAATACTCCCATTGGTAATGTAACCAGAGTAGCAACTGTTGAAAATAGTGATAGAGTAGAAAAGCTCAGCAAAAGCAGCCCCCCTCCCCCAGGTGATGCTGTAGCAGTATCATATTTTACACCAGCTGGAGCTGGAAGAATGCTTTTAGCTTGATTACCTGAACAGTGTGACTTGCAACTGCTAGAAAGGATGGTAGAGAGAACAGTCGCAAAAGTCTCTTGATGTTTTTTCCTTGCATTAAAAAATGCATTTTTCCTTCAGGGAACTTGAAAGTCTTGTTTTGAATTAAAGCCCACAGCAGTATATGATGCAGTTAGTGAGGCAGCCTCTAGTTTCTCTCACACTAATGATTTGTCTTCTTTAGTTTTGGTTGATAGGTGTTTTTCTAACATTCAAGAATGTACTTAAGATTTGAGTTTTTTTTTAGAAGTTAATAGAAAATAAAAGCAGAGCTTTACAGTTATTTATTTCATTTTTTTTGTACAAAATAAGATATTAAAAATTCCTATGCAAGGATTAAGGAAATAGGATTTGAGCATTTTGAGCGTTGTGGCTCTTGCAGCATTTTGAGTACTGCCATGTTGAGTGCTTATTAAATGGGACTATTTTTCTATACTTTTCACAGCCTAACTGGATGCAAATAAGAGGATCTGTGTTCCGTTTCAGTGTTAACCTACCTGTACATTTCTGCCAGCTTTTCCTAGGGGTGCAGTGAATTATCAAAGCTGGAAGCAAGAACATACAGCAGAAGGTAGTATTGGAAGAAAACAGGTTGTGAAGAAACAGGGGCAGGATTCGGAACTGTGAACTGGCAGGGCAGGCCGGAATATGGTTTTATCTGGGGCTGGACTCCCAGTGGGTGCATGCATCTCTGCTGGAGCCTGGGCATGCAAGAGGGTGCTTGATATTGCAGTGTCTTGACACCAGCATTGTGCTCCTGCCTGGGGAAGCTGCTGCTGTATCTCAGTCTGGAAGCTGTGGAATTCAGATTCTAATAAGCACTAAAGTAGAAAAAAAATTATTCCCTCCTTTTCTTTGGCCCCTTTACCTTTTAAATCAGGAAAGGATTAATGCAACTTAAATCGCGTGCCATGGCTCTGAGTATCTGCAAAATCCTTTCTTAGGGAGCCAAATGCTAGTCTTGCCACATCTGTGGTTAGTGTTACCAGGAAATAATTTTTTAATCTGTGGGTGTTTTCTTCCATTAAAACAGTTCTCTGTGCTGTCATAATTACCAGTTGTCTTGAAATCAAAGCCTAAGTAAAGTTTTTATTTTCCTTCATACTTCTGTAGAAGTTTACCACCTTAAACATGTGTTAAGCTTTTTTTTCCCCCAAGCTTAAAAATTATTTATAGAGATATCTTAGATTCAAAATCTTGTGTATTAGATGGAGTCTAGGATATCATCATTGCAACATGTAACAGGAAAAGAGATTTACTGAAATAAATTTTCTTTTTAAGCTGAAGGTTAAGCATGTAAAATCTTGATTTCTAGTCTAAAAGTTAGTATCTTCTACTAAGCTGTTGAATGTCTTGCCTAACTGAATTTGAAGTCCTAGCAGGCTAGGTGAAAGCCTTTCAGTTGTAAACTCCTAGTTGCTAAGCTGGAAAGATGCTTTATATGGGAAATTCTTTATAAAATAAATCAATAAACAGATGTCTTACTTCTTTTTCAGATTTCCCTGTCTGTTAGAGAATAAGTGCATGTACATACATCTCAAGCTTTTTTATGTTAGGCAAATTATTGTATGATTAAACACCTATTCTAATCTTCTCTTTCATTTTTTCTAGTGACTTTGTATGGAAGAAATGCAGTGGCTGTTCTCAAACTCTCTTACAAACTGATCTCAATGTAAGTAATTGTTTGACCAATATTGTCAGTTACATGTTGTGCTGGACGTGGATCTGTGTAGTTACTGTAAAGAAAAATAAATCGCACATCAAGTTTTCCTTAATAATTCTCAAAGAACTTTCATTTGTTCAGGTTTCAGTTTTTATATGCTAGGTCAGAAGTCCTTCCTTCTGTGTGGTCAGACTTGTTAGTCGCTCATCCGTGGTTCAGGCTTACACATGCTTCAAAGATTGCAATTTTTTGTTTGTTTTAACACTCGTAGCAGAGGCCACGCACAGGAGAATCAGTTGCGTGAGCCTGTTGAGGATTTTCCTATACAGTATGTATTTTTCTACCAGTTTAATTCTGATGTGTTTATTTTGCTCAGGTTTCAGTGTTACGTTATCTTGTGTTGAGTAACAGAACTTCTGCTGTTCATTGATCAATGTGACAGTCTTCAGTAGTTTACGAGATGAGCCAAACTCGTGGGAAATATGACTTCTGTATTGGTCTGGTCTTGGCTATGAGTTCCAGCATTTTCATTGGAGGAAGTTTCATCCTGAAAAAGAAAGGCCTTCTCCGGTTAGCTAGGAAAGGCTCCATGAGAGCAGGTAAACAAATGTTTAAGAAATTTGCTGACATTTAAGTTTTGCTGTTTAGCAGAAGATTTCTGAACTTATAACTTGTTTTGACTTTTTGTTTGTTTGCTACAGGTATATGAAACATAAAACATGTAGCGGATGTGTTTTTTCTCTGGTGTCAGATACACCTAACTGTGTGTCATACATACTATTTAATTTGCATGTAATGCCCTCTAGGAATACTTGTTGAAGGATTCCTTTGCATATCAGTTAAGTTTAAGTTGTACTTACAAATCGAACTCAGAAGCAGCACTCTTAACTACATCTTTGCCTTTCCCAGCAGAACGTTAACTGTGTTTGAGTGTCAGGAGATTGTTGTAGGAAACTAAAAATTGCATGTAATAATAATGAGTAGTGTCCCTCAAGGGTTCATATGGAAGCCAATACTATTTGATATCTTCATCAGTGATACAGACAGTGAGATTGTCTGCACCCTCAGCAAGTCTGTGGATAAAACCAAGCGGAGTAGTGCAGTTGATGCACTTGAGGGATGTCATCCAGAGAGACCTTGACGGGCTTGAGGACAGGGTCTGAGCCTCAAGAAGTTCAACAAGGCCAAGTGCAAGGTCCTGCACCTGGGTCCAGGCGATCCCAGTATCATACAGACTGGGGGATGAAGGGATTGAGAGTAGCCCTGCAGAGAAGGATGTGGGGTTGCTGGTGGGTTAAAAGCTGGAGATGAGCTGGCAATGTGTGCCTGCAGCCCAGAAAGCCAACCATATCCTGGGCTGCATCAAAAGAAGCATGGCGAGCAGGTTGAGGGATGTGATTCTCCCCCTCTGCTCTACTTTGGTGATATCCCATCTGGACTATTGCATCCATCTCTGGCATTCTCAGTGCAAGAAAGGCATGGACCTGTGGAGCAGGTCTAGAGTTGGTCCACAGAAATGATCAGAGGGCTGGAACATCTCTCCTATGAAGAAAGGCTGAGAGAGTTGGCATTGTTCAGCTTGGAGAAGGCTCCAGGGAGACCTTATAGCAGCCTTCCTGTACCTGAAGGAGGCTTAAAAGAAAGATGGAGAGAGTCTTTCTACCAGGCCCTGTCATTACATGACAAGGAGCAATGGTTTTAAACTGAAAGAGGATAGATTTAGATAGGATGGTTGCAGCATCCTCAGATGATTCAGAGGGTTGAGTCTGAATGTTTTTAATTCAGTACCTGTCATCTCTGCTTCTAAAAGGTGGTTGATCTCAAGATAATGTCATGCTCCCTGGTTTGGAATGGGCAAGTGTGACTGCATTTCATGTTTGTTCATGTAATCAACCACAGAAGCCATGTGCAATTTCCAGAGAGTCACGCTCTTGTAAGAGATATGTAACTTGGCTTTTCATGTCATTACAACGAGTTGAAAGAACTTTCAGAGTAATGCAGCTATGGTCATCAGTGCTTTGTCTAATGCAAAAAGAAATAAAATAACTAGCTTTCAAAGTAGGTTGTAGGAGGCATATGCACATCAGAACCTGGAAGGTTTTATTTCAATCCCACTAACTTTAAAGCTTAGGTATCAAAAGGCTGCCCATGTTTTTAAAGGTATGGGCTGCAAAAGTTATTTTGGTGATGTTATCAATGGTGGGACTTACTGTTTGTCTATGTCTGTGTTTAACTGAGTAGCAAATGTTCTTTCAATTTCAGGTCAGGGTGGTCATGCATACCTTAAGGAGTGGCTGTGGTGGGCTGGACTTCTTTCAAGTAAGTATCAAAAATACAATCTGATACATGTAGTTTCATTAAATGCCTGTGCCACCCGTGGCAGCAACGGTTAAAAAAATGAGCAAGATGGGGATCCTACAATATATGGTAATAGTCTAGTGATTTGATGGGTGCAGCTCTAATGATTTTAATACAACTTATCTGACACCAGAAGTTCCTTCATCAAATTAATTTTCTTCTTTGGGCAGTGGAACTAGGCAGATGTTGGTCTTCCTGTATCTCTTTGCTAGCACATGCATTCTGGTTTTTGCCTCAGCAGAGAAGTGCTTAGATATACAAGATTCTTTACAATATTTTGGGATGATGTCTATTTTCTGAACTTTTTTTTTTTCACTGCTTAAACTCTGGCTGTGTTCAGGTAACTATGACTTAATGTATGCCTTGCCCTATAGCCTGCTATTGCAGATTTCTCCATGCAGAAGTTCATGACTCAGGTTGGCATGCTGGGGAACTACGACATAGATACCAAAATAAAACACCTTCTAATTTGCCTAAATTAATTATAATACTTGCTGTAGTCCCCCAGCCTGTTTTTAAAATACATTATCAAGGGAGTGGGGCTGTGTGTTCTGCTAGTACTGCTACCTGAACACTATAATTAGAATTCTCCATTGTTCCCTTACTTGTTTGTGTCTACAAGAACACTTGTGCTGATTCACAGGTTTGTTGCATAAGACAACCTAACTCCTTTTTTTTATTACTCTTATTACTCTGCAGTGGGAGCTGGCGAAGTAGCTAACTTTGCTGCCTATGCTTTTGCACCAGCTACATTAGTGACTCCTTTAGGAGCTCTCAGTGTTCTTGTAAGGTAAGAAATGCTAACAGAAGGCAGTATGATTGCAGAGAGAGAAGTAAAATACTTATTTAGAAATATGTCACTGAAACATGCTGTAATAAATGTGGTTTGTTCTTAACAGTAAATAAAGACTGCTTATAAACCTCAGGAGTAACTTTTAAGTTTCTGCAAATGTGAATACCCTATAAAAGGATTCTAGCAATGCATCTACGCCTCAATGTGTAAAAAGCTATCACCTTCTGCATTTCAAAAACATGTTGTATATAACAGCGTAGTATTTTCATTCCTAAGTAGAGTTAACATTTTTGTCCTTTAAATATTATTTTTGAGTGCTTAGATAGTGTTTTTTGGGAGGAAGCATAAAAAAGCGGTTCTGGGGAGAGATGCCAAATACTAACAGGAAGTTCTGTCCATAGAAAGTATCTTGAGATAGAAAATCAACTATGTAGCTATTTTTAAGGTGCCAATTGTGTGTGCAAGTGACCTGTACAGTCAGAGCAGCCTCTAAATTGATGAGCAAATGAATGAGTTATTACTAATTCCATGTTTGCTGCTATGGTTTTTTTTCTTCTTAGTGCCATTCTGTCATCCTTCTTTTTAAATGAAAAACTTAATCTACATGGAAAAATAGGGTGTTTGCTAAGTGTACTGGGATCAACTGTGATGGTGATTCATGCTCCACAAGAAGAGGAAGTAGAAACTTTGAATGAAATGTTCATCAAACTAGGTGATCCAGGTAAGAAAAATGCTGGCTTGATTATAATTTCGTTACTGCTGCTTTCAAGTTCCAGGAAGATAGCCTGTGTCTGCTTCATGTTGTCAAGATGAAGTAGAGATTTGAATTCTGTGATGCAATTCCATAGGGAGTTTTGCATGATGCCAGTGAACTTGTCTGGGCCTTGAACAAGGTGTCTTGAAGTGAGCCACCAAGATGTCAGTTAAAACAAATACAGCAGCACAGTTGGATAAACTTGTATAAATTGTAATTGAAGTGTGTCAGTCTCTAAGCCCAACTTTGAGCTATCCTTAGTAAGTGCTGTGCTAAGAGTCTGCTGAGAAGGGTCATCCTGGAGACCAGCTCCTGCGCTTCTGTGAAAGATGATGCACTCAAGAACACATCAGGAAAATACTACGTATGCAAAGACAATTACCATTTTAAACATGAGGGAATAGCCAGCAGAGATTAAAAAGCTGACCTTAAGGAGTGACCTGATCATTGGAATCTGCTGATGACTGTAGCAGCTTGCCAAAACGTACCTCCCTAAGCAGCATACAGACAGAAGCCTGTATCCAGTGCCTCAGTGAGCCTGTGTGTAAGGCACTTCTAGCAAGCTAATCCTGTAGTCACCTTGCTGATATGATAGACTGGGAAGGGTAATACAACATGACTTGAGTTTCATTCTTTTAGCTAGCTTGCCTTAAAATAGTTTTAACTTTGATGTTGAGGAGTAATGAGAAACATCCCGAACTCTTCTGTTTATGCTGAGCTGATTGCATGGTTAATGAGTGTTTTCTCAGTAGCTCTGAGATGCTTTTGATAGTGTATGTAGACAAGAACATTCTTTCCCCTCTACCCCCTTACAGGTTTTCTGGTCTTCGCAACTCTTGTTGTCATTGTGTCTTTAATTCTAATATTTGTGGTGGGACCTCGCCATGGACAGACCAACATTCTTGTGTACATAACAATTTGCTCTGTAATTGGAGCGTTATCAGTCTCCTGCGTAAAAGGTTTGGGCATCGCTATCAAGGAACTTTTTGCGGGAAAACCAGTGCTGAAACATCCCTTGTCTTGGATTCTGCTGCTAAGCCTTATTGTCTGTGTGAGCACGCAGATCAACTATCTAAACAGGGCTCTGGATATATTCAACACTTCGATAGTGACTCCCATATATTACGTAATCTTTACGACGTCTGTTTTAACTTGCTCTGCCATCCTTTTCAAGGAATGGCAACACATGGCGGCTGATGACATTATTGGCACCTTCAGTGGCTTCCTGACTATTATTGTGGGGATCTTTTTATTGCATGCCTTCAAAGATGTTACTTTCACCCTAGCAAATCTGCCCCTCTCTTTGCGCAAAGATGACAGAGCAGCAAATGGTACTTTGCTGAGCACGTACGACAGCTTTAATCATGATGAAGAAAGTTCTCCCTGTCTAGGTGAAATACAATCCAGCGAGAGTCTCTCAGCCAGGAGAAACGGAAGTCTGTCATCCTTCTGAAAATATCTACATGTTACTTAAGAAAAGAACAATTCTGTAATTTTTTTTTTCCTGCTGTGAAATGTCTGAGCTTGTCTGGAAAATCTGTATTTTTAACCGTATGTGTAGACAATCGTTAACTTTTAAGTTCAGTTAGTTTGGAAAAAGGAACACTGAAGGGTGTTTTTATTTTGCCTTATTTTTACTTTAAAGGAAACGGTAAAATGACCTCAGACCACAGTTGGTTTTGTTGCTTAAGTTATGTGTAAATACTTTCATTTAATTCTTCTGTTTTAAGATGTATTGCACTAATGACAATTTTATCAAAAATAAATTGCTTTATTTCTGCATTGGTGGTAAAACGATTGCAGTGAACCAGAGTCCTTTGTACTGAACACCGAGTGGCTATAAACATACTGAAACAGGGGCTGCCCCAAGTACTCTTGTCCCAGTTTGTAGAGGAGGAAAGGGAAAGCTGCAACTGAACAAGAATAATCCTTTGAAATGCTGCTGAGCTAAAGCTGTAGGCTAAACTTTACCCAGCCTTACCAAATCAGAGTAACTGGCTGGCAGCAATAAGACAGGAGCTTGTGCTCTGCTTGGGTAGGTGAGGTGGGGCAGCTCCTGCCATGCTGCCTTGAGGAACGATTTGAGCTATAAATGGTTGCCAAAAAGCTTCTCCCTCTTCTGTAACAGAGGTCAGGTTTAGTCTGCTGCACCACACTGCCCTGGCTCTGTAGAGCTGCTCTTGGTGTTTTATGTTACAGCTTGAACTCACAGAATTGCAGTTTTGTTTGTAGTAAACATGTTGTTTACTGGCTGTGATGCTTTAAGTTTAAAAAAAAAAAGGGTGTGCAAAAGTAGAACATAATGTTGCTTAACATAGAGTGGGGAAGGTGGGTGGTAAGATTTTTTTTTTTTTAGGTTCACAAAAGCAAAAAATAAAAATGAGTGATGGAATTTTTATAACAACATTGCTACCGTAGCTGTGAAGCTTAGAAAGAACTTGGTACAGAGAAACAGTTACTGCTGTAATTTGTCAGATTTTATGATTACTGTTAAGAGTCTATGTTATTACAAGGACAAAAAAAAAAAAGCCAGCTCCCACCTGCAACACTAACTCTGCTGCCTTCCTCTGGTACATGTCATATGTGCAGGAGGGGCCAAGGTGTCAAGCAAGAAAAAGCTTCTCTAAAATCTGGTTAAAGAATGGGATTTGAACTTGGCCCTAATGTTCAGAGACATCACATCAGCACTGCTCAGTTGCAGAAATTCGGTCCTTGAAGGGTGATGCAACAAGGAGCACAGCAACTGACAGTGGCATGGAGGAACTTAAACTGCCCAGGAGTCACCGGACAAAGAAATTTGTTCATTTTTCTTAATTGAAGCCTGAAGCACAAGGAAATGTTTGGTTGGCTCAAAGTCTTCTTCACACAGTGCTGTTAAGAGCTAAAAATAAGTGTTTCTTCAAGAAAACTGTGCATTAAGCACCTTGTAAAAGAAATCTTGCAACAAGCTGTGTAACATAGCTCAAATGTTTCCTATTTCTGCCTCCCCCACAGCAGGCAGCCTGTGTGTGCTCCCACCACCACAGAGACCACTCTGGAATGGCAGCTCTCAAGCACAGACACCCTGGGAAAGCCATGGTAGTGGAAATTTGCTTTGAGATTAACAAATCTTTGTCCTCGATTTTGCTGAGGAACTTAATCTCATTTCCTTTTTCCTCTTAATCCAGTTATGGATAGGTTAGAAACGTTAACCAAATGAAACCTTTATTGGGGTTACAGCACGTACTTACCCATCTGTGTCTCTTCCAGCCATCTTAACGCACCTTTGTTTTGGCTGGATCCTAACAGCTGACTGAAAAGCTCGGTTAAGATCCAGCAGGAGCTCCTAGCTTTTGGCTGAACAGGTTGCTTTAAAATTCAAGGTTTACAGTTGCAAAGTTTTACAAACAATTTTACTGATGCAGTGTGTCCATAATACAGTAATTGTAATTAAACAAATGCTTTCCGTAAATAAATCATGATTAACATCATTAGAACTTAGGTGCTGGGCTAGATTACACCTGATCTCTGCATTCAAGATTCTTGTAAACAAGAATTCCTTATCACCTGTAAACATGTCTTTTGGTACCCGGGTATGTATCACCATCCAAAATAGAAATGGTGTTAGAAGCTCTTGTTAGGAAAAAGTAAACAGCCCCCATTGTAATCAATTAACTACTGCCTTTTAAAGAGATCGCAATACCAGCAGTCACCTCCATGTTCAATAACTTGGAAACAATCACCTTAATTAGCCTTCATTTCCCTAATTACTGATCTCAGAGAATAGTTTTGTAAAAAAAGAGGAAAAATAATCAACTGACCAGAAAAATTCTTCACAAAGTACCAGCAGAATTGGTTCATTGTTTTTTAATAAAGGCTAATTAAGCAATTAATGTTCTAGTACAAACAATTAGAAATTGATTTCTAAGTTTTTTTTCCTACAGCCCCCAGTTTCTTATCCTCCTCAGCTATTATTTTGATAGCCTTTGGGGGAAATGATGCCAGTCCAGTCTAAAATGGCCACCTCAGTAGAGAATTCAAAAATCTTTTACAGTTGCAGGTTTTTAATCAAAGCGTATAAAATTTTAGTCTAGAAAAATAAGTATGAATTGTATACAGTTACTGTGCTTGGAGACTGAAGAGGACAGTGCACCACACAAATGGCATAGGCACACTGAAAAATGCAGATGAGAGTACTCCTTAAAACTGTTGCTGTGGGTTTTGTTTGTTGGGTTTTTCTCCTACTTTCAGCCTAAATAGGTGCAAAAAGGTATCGCTAGGTGGACAGTCTAGTTGCTGGCAAGGGACTGATGAATGGGTGGCTGGAAGCAGCGCACATGCTCCACGGGTGTGCTCTCTCCATCACCGGACTTCAAATACTTGTCCAAAATAGCAATTATTTCATCATTCAGAATCTGGAACTTGCGAATTCTCTCAACCATTTTCTTCAAAGGCTGCAACCATAAAAAAAAAAAAAAAATCAGACACACAGGAGTTGGCTTTGGAGACAAAAAAGCCTTAGACACAAAAGTGGCAAATGCTGTTACCTCCCCCAGCAATGTTATGAATTCCCTTCCACTGTTAATCCAGTGAAAATCCAAGCTGCATTTTGTACAAGAAAGGGCAATTTACAGGAGCCTTGTCATAATGTGAATGCACGTATATGAGATGGAAAGCCTTCAGAAAATCCCATCTAGCCAGGAAATCAGAATTCACACTGACCAGTCATCCAACTCCAGTACTCATGCCTTAATCTTTTGTTCCTAAAAACCCTGGTGCCCTCATTTTCGACATTTCATTCTAAAAAGCAATCGCTACATCAGAGTACAAACAGATCTCGTTTATTGTTGGCATGGTTATTACTACAGCGAGTACAGGACAGGTGTTTTCCACTCACCACATTCTTTATAACCTCATCTTTGCCATCGTGCTTTTGGACTTTCAACAGGTGGTAGCAGAAATCCAACACGTCAAAGCGTCGCTGCTGTCCCAGAAGCACGATGATCATACAGCCAGCCCAGTGCAAGCCATCTCCAAAGCACTGCCTGAAACAGGAAACACACCACATAAAGCACGTTTCACCCAAATATTCAGCAACATATCCACAGGAAATGCGCAGTAATCGGCCATTATACCAAACTGCATATACAGCACTCTAGAAGATGTTAGACATTAATCTAGAAAGTACTGCAAAATCTCCAGTAAATTAAGTTCTCTTTCCAGGTACCACAAGCAATGCAAATGGATGCTTACCAAAATAACAGACACACATCCCCAGTTCTACACAAGGTAGAGTGAACTCCAAAAACATTCACTCCCCATTAGACCCCAGCAGCATTACATTTCATTTTCAAAGGAAATTTTCAAGGAGACAGTGGGAATTCAACACCACTCCACTCCTTTGGACTGCAGGCATGAAAGGGAGTAAGCGTCCTATGCTGTTGCCTCCATAACTGCTGAGTGAAAAGCACTTTACAGCTCAACAGTTTTTCAAAAGAAGGATATTACCAAAATGAACAAACCCAAGAACTACAGTTCCTGGTTAACTCATGTTAATCATGTTAACATCCAAGTACTGATTCCTGCCCTTCATTCAGAGAAGAAAATACTTGTTAGAAATAGAGGCACCAACATTAAGCGATTTTATTTACGTTCCACGTCGGTAGGGGTCTGATTGCTATTGAAAGATGCGTGCTGAGGCCTGTTAGTCATGGTGTCATTCATTATACGATGGCCATACTTAAAACAGAGGATTATTTTTGATAGACATACAATAATATCCGTGTACATGGATTATGAGCCCCTCCCAGATACTGCAACACTTTCCCTTGTTCTCGCACTAAGCTTTTGCAAACAAACAACGCCCTCCATTCTAGGTCCCTCCACAGTTACAGGGAGGATGAGCAAAGTACTGTTGCCTGTAGGTGGTACGTACTCCACTGTGAATTCATGCGTTCCCACGGGGATGCAGTAGACGAACTGCATGGCGCTCCAGAGGCGATGGAATTCCACGCACTCGTCCACGTGCATCACCCCATTGCTGGGCAGGGGCCCGCGCCAGATGGGATCGTCCAGGAAGGAGCGGATCCTCGTCAAGATAACCTCAAACATGGACAGGCCGCAGCAGAGGCGTTCTTTGGTCAGCAAGTCCCCTTCCCTGGCAATTGCTATTTGCTAAGATGAGAGAAGGAAAGTGCAAAATCCTGGTAAAAGCCGCTTGACCACAAGACTTGCCAAAAAACGACGTCAAACCAAAAAATACCACCACATTTTTCAGTTTCGCTTGCTTTATTCTCCTGATGAAGTATGACTAAGTGAGGTCAGAGGCCACTAACCTGAGGTTCAATTCAGTGGAAAAAACATCCAGAGAAAATTGCAAAAGCCATTTCAAGCAGACAGAAAGTAACTTACACTAACTGCAGTCATGCTAATCCTGGACTAGGCCCAGGGAAGTTTAAAGAACTCTTTGCCTGAATGGAGGCTGAAAGCAAACCCACAGAGCTCAGTGCTCTGCTGCCAGGATGGGCAGTAGCTCCGGCCTGCGCTCTCCTGCACATCTCCCCCGGCTGCTGCTGTTGGAGACAAGAAAGCTCCAAAGAGAGCACAAACAAGCCCAGACAAAATCCATAGGAGGCAACGCTGGCTAGGGCTTGTCCCAGCTTGTGCCGTTACACCGAGAGCTCTCTCCTAATGCAGCCGTACCTCTGATGACAAGAGCAGACTGAAGTCTGCTCCTGAGCACTCTGCTCTCCATTTTTACTACTCACATCTCAACTGCTTGTAAACTGCTACGGTTAGCAGGGAATTAATGTATCCCTCACAGTGAGAGAAAGGAAAATAGTGCTGAAGCTGCAAAGGCAGTTCAAGAGCGTTCTCTTTGGTCATTGTTTCTAGGAGAGCTCAACTCAAATGACAGCTCATATTCCAAGAGTTTCTAATCATCTGGCCGAAAGAGGAATCAGTTGTTTTAAATATATATATACACACACACGTGCACAAGAAAACAGACCTCCCAGGCTGGCCCTTATGCTGTGAGAATATCACATAGCAACATACATACAAATTAGCATTTTCCCCAGAGCTTTTCACCTCCACCTCAGTCTCAAATGTTTTAAACTCCTGAGCTTTAACAGATTTACCAAACCCATGGATCCAAAAAAAAAAAAAAGATAAATTTTTAAAATCCTCTTGTGTGACCAAGCTGCATGTGCAGGATGAAATTCTCACACAGCTATTGGCACGCATGAAAGGAGAGGCTTTGTGGTGCTCAGAGATGTCTTGAATTGCCTCTGACACAAATGAGACACATTACCTGGGGCGTGCCCAGTCTTTCAATGAGAGGAACCAAATGTAGCGGAGCATATTTTGATTCCAGTCTCTTCATTTTAGCATCAAGTCTTTCACCCTCTGAAAGAGAAAAGAGAAAAGAAAGAAGAAAAGAGCACAGATAAATTGCAATTAGCAAGAAAATTCTTATTTTAATACAGTCTTTGTTCAGAGCAAAAGAAAACCGGGTATGTTATTTTTATAGGTAATTTCAGTTCTAAATAGCTAATCTTCAACGGACTTTTAGAAAAATATATATATCTATTTTAAAAAGTTGCATTGCATGTGCAAACAGATATGTTAACACCAGCAGCATAATAAAGCCGTATAGTCTTTCCTGAATTTAGTTAGTTAGTTACATGTATTCTACTACAAATCACAGAATCATATGATCCTATGGGAGTCTACTGGGAGCAGGGACCACTTGTATTTACCTACTTGCTGACAGATTTCCTATACCTTGTATGATCAAGTCTACCCCACTTAACTGACAAATCCTATAAGCAAAACAGCACCTTCAGAAAAGCCTCTTGCCATATCCACATAGAGGGGTAACACTGCCCTGGGTATCCATCCCACTTGGCCCTGTCATGGCATTTCTCCCCTTCCTCTTCTGATTTGCACTGAGCCTTGCTAAGAAGGACATAATTCTCAGCCAGGCAAACAGGCCTGAATCTGTTACCTCTGTCCCATAATTAACAGTGGTGCTGTAAAGAACGGCTGGGGACAGTCACCAAAACCACAGCAGCAGGCAAGAAAAATGGAAAGCATTACCCAAGGAAGGTATTTTCCACTTAGCTGATACCTTTGACGTGAACTCTGGGCAGGATGTTTTGGAATGGCGCTGCATGCAACAGGTCACACACTTCCTCTAGGGACTGGGACAAAAAAGAAACGAGAAGCATTTAAAACCAAAGAATCCCCAAACCACACCAGATCCCCAAAACAGGCTTCCAAAAGCACACCAACACCATTGCAGAAACACCAGAGGGCAGCCAGCCTCCATCACCACCACACAGAGCTGCTCCCAGAGACAATTTGATTTCAGCAGGTTACCTGGGATTAACCAATATAACCTCCAGCAGCTCTCCTCCCACCCTCAGCTGGCAGTTCCTAAAGGACAGGGTATTTATTAAAAAGACTAATGCAGAATGAGTAATTTCAGTGTGAAAGCGGCAGACGGCTCCTGCGCAGGCAGGGGGATGAAGGAGGTGACTCACTGCTTGGTTATTTTTACTGATGCTATTCCCACAACCCATTATCTATCTTGGCGGGCGCACGTCCCCACCAGGCGGGCTGAGACACGCGATCAGGAAGTATTTCACATCTTTAGGGACAGTGGGAAGGAAGACAGATGCCTCCTGGTTCCTGGCTGCCGTACGTGAACAGAAAATACAGGGAAGACCAGAAGCAGATGCATGACACTGCTGTGCTCGTCTCCTTATTTTCGAAGCAGAGGCTCAGCGCTAGTATTAGATGTTCATCAGTCACACTGTTGGCAAGGCCAGGGTACTGGAGCTAATCTGCCTTTCCTACATCCTGTTCCTTATGGTTGGACTCTTAAGAGTCTCTTCTAACCTAAATGGTGCTACAATTCTATGTCAACACCATGAAAATGCACGTGCTAGGCAGCCAAGATTAACAATACCCACCCAGTAGCAGTGATGCACTACAGACCTATGTTTTGCACCAGGGTCAAGTCTACTTAAGTTACGACAGATGACCACAATGGAAAAATACTGAAATTCGTGACAGGACATCGGGGCACCACCAAGGGCAAAAACAAGAGGAGAGGCAGCGAGCAAGGGTGTATTACTAGAAAGTGTCACCAAGGTGGCATCCCAAAGAAGGTACCTCCAGCACTGGCATCACTTTGGTACACTCTCAAGCAGTGAGGGCCCTCACCTGCCTGGCACTTCATCACGTACTCCATTAGCCTGAATCCAAAGTAATCCAGTTTCTCATTTTGTTCAGCTGTCCCATCACTGAATACGAGTTTGCTGCTTGTCACCTGTCCCTCCAATTGCTCTCCACCACGAGAGAGGGATCCTCTAAGACTGGACACGCTTCACAGCTTCACTGAAGCTAAGACAGACAAATGTCTGGCAGAGCAGGCGCCACTGTCAGCCATCCAAGCAGCAAGAAGGATGTCCAAGAACACCATGCTAACTTTGCAATGTTTCAGATGACAACAGGAATAGAAAATAACAGTACCAAACGTGCAACTTATAACTGACATAAAAAGAGTAGCCACTGCGGGAATACTGTATGTGATCATAATTTATGATGAAGGTCATAATATGAATTCCTTAGGTACCATACACAAGGCAATGTCTCTCACCCAGCAAAGCCAGGCATCCCTGCTATCTTGCAGACATGAAAGTCCCAGCAAGACTGTAAGAGATCAGAGCAGGGAACTGTTTCTACCCATCTGCCCATCAGCAACAGATTTCAACCTTGTTATTTCTGACGTTAGTAACACAAATTTGTGAGTATATTTTGAGAGACAGATGGGCTTTCAAGTAGCACAGCAGGCACCTACCAGACTCTGTTCAATGAGGAGGCAAAACAGGACGGCATTTCCCACTTCCCGCAAATTCTGGAAGCAGACAGTCTTCAGTTCTGCATATTCTACGATGTCCTTCAACTGATGGTGAAAAAACTCCAAGATACCTGAAATCAAAAGAGAAGCAAAAAAAATTGTATCTCCTGAAGATCTCACAGGCACACCAGTTACCTTGGGAAAACAGACAAAAGATTATGGCTTTGTGGATAAGAGTCGTAAGGATCAGGACTAATTTTCGTTTCTGCCTCAAAAGCACACTCATTTCTAACCAATTTGCCTGTGCAAGGGTTGCACTGAATGTGCATAAATCCACTGTATCAGAGCACAGCTAACCAAGGGTGCAGGTTTAGAGTTCCCTCTCCATGTATCAGCCCACGAGATGTTTTATTTCCAGATGTGCAGGCTAGAGGAAACTGAAAGGAGCAGTACCTAAATACAGTAAAAAACAGAAGTTATGAAGTGTTAAGCCAGATGTGTGCTGATCTTTTTAACTGGATAAGTCATGCAAAATGGAGTGCCCAGCTTCCCACTCCTGGAAAAGGGAGCCAGTATAAGAGGTAGGAAAATAATTTTGAGGAGCAGGAAGAGAGACTCGGGCTCTCATCTGCTATTAGTCCTGTTGCAGCCTCTGTCCCCAACCTGCCGCACCACCCGACACATTCAATTTTCAGCTGTTATTTTCAATGACAGAGCCAGCAAGGAGCGGAGCACTAAGGATAGAGAGAACAGGGGTAGTGTCAGGCTATGACTCTGATAGTGCCCCGGACGGCTAGAGGTGATCTGCAACCTCACACAGCAATTGAATACAGAGATCACAAGTCAAGCTCTGCTGGCATGGGTACATCAGATCCTGCTGACAAGCACAGTCAGAACACTGTTTCTGTTAAAGTTTTGCCAAAAGCTGTTAAAAAACAGCTAAAAGTATGATTTTCAAACCTACATAATTTACATAAACATATGTCTTTTCCATCAAACCTCTCCCAAACAATGGTGACACGTAACGTGCTGGTGGATTTCCAGCTCCTTCCCTCCCCATCCCCAGAAAGGCTGCACAGTCCCTTGGTTAGAGACAAGCTCAGAAAATCCTGGGCTCAACAGCTGCTGCAGAGACCCAATCTGGCCAGCACCGCAGAGGTTAAAGTGATGTGCAGGATGGGTGAGGAAGAGCAGAGAACTGCAGAAGGTCAGATAGCTCTCTGCCTTTTTACAGGTTAATTTTTATCAGCATTTTTCCATCTGTCTGCACAAGCCTGGCCCTTTTAAAAAGCCACCAAAACCCTTGACTGACAACAGAAGAAAATACATCATTCGAAGCTTTGAAATTGTGTGCTACATACGGCAGTTCATTTCCGTTACGCTGAAATAAGTCAAACAGTTAAATCTCCACCCAATCACATCTAAAGCAATTGAGAGGAGACAAGGAAAGAGAGCATAGATGCTCCCTACCACATTCCCGTGTGTTCCTTGGATGCAATCAATGAGCACCTCCCATGCAGGAGATAAGACTGTGGTAGTTACCCAGCAAGGCAATGGCTGAGAGGGGAGCGCACAAACAGAAAACACAGCCTGGAGCGTAGCTATGCCAAGGAAATCCTTCAAATTCAGCAGAGGAACTTTAAGACGTACAGTGAAGGAAGGAACTGTACAGCTAACCCACACACTTCTACAGAAAGCCTCGTGTCATTAAAATTAGTAACATGAAACATCAATGACGTGCATGGTGAGGGGATGCAGGGCTGGCTCTGTTTGGCAATAGAAAATCTGCAGTCAGTGAGTGCTGCCACGTGCATTCAGTGGAGATGAATTTCAGACTTAACTTGAGTAGTTTAACAACTCAACAGAAAAACAGAACAGAAAAACTGATGGAGAAAGGTCAGATATAGTGAGTGCATGCCGAGCTTCATTTATTCAAAGAAACAAATTTAAATCTAGCTAAAAAGCAAACAGGTCACGCCAGCGCATCAGCAACTCTCCCCACCCCCTAACATGGGAACCATGTAATGAAACAGCTCTGGAAAAGACTGTTGGTGCCCATTCAGCGCTGTGGTATAAAGGCCCATTGCAGTTCCCAGGTGTTTGAGCAGCAGTGAGCACTTGTGTTTGCTGTTTAAACACACCTGCCCACCATGGCAAAGAGATGCTGCAGTGCTGAATATTGGGATTCCTACTTTAAAGATAAGGTTGAAGAGGCAGATTGATACAGCAGAAAACTTTGCAAATAATTTTCGCTCTGGAAAAAAAATGCAGAATGAGGGAACTGAAGCAAGCTTTACCTCAAGTCTACAGTGTGTTTTAGCTACGTGCCCTAATATATCCTTCACGTTTTTCTCTGTTAATAAAAGGGCTTCTTCACCTAGCAAGAAAGGTTTTCTAAGAGTCAACTGCTAGAAGTCAAGTCGAATACTTTCCTCATATGAAGGCTGAATGTCTTTCTGGAAGCAAAAGTCCACTGCGTTATCGTGGACTTGGATTTGTGCCATAGAGGAAATCAAACTGGAATCTCTACCAACGCTTCTGGTCTTAGCATCCATGGCATGTACACAGCGACTGATGGTGAACCATCAGAAGGGCTGGAAGACTCCTCAAAACACAGTGAGTAACTGTAGGCTTCTCATAGTTACCATGGTGAGAAACCACTACGCGAGCAAGTAGGATACTGCCTCCAAGGACAGACATGCGGATGTTTTTCCCTTTATCTTGTATGGTGAGTGGGAAGCAGTTTGGTGAGAAATAGAAGCTGAGCAGAGCAGCAAGGTCAATTTTGCTACTTAAACGTGGAAACAAGAATTGGTCATGAAGGGGGTGGAAAGGAGGGGGTGTTTCAGACTACCCTCGATTTCCTGCCCAGCCTCTGAATTTTGTGGGGAGTTTCAGAAAAGAGACTGATGCTCAGAATGATGTTGAGAACGTTATATGGGTAGCTTTGAAGTGAAAAGCTTCACACAAAACGGACACAAACTGGAACACAGGAGGTTCCACTTAAATTTGAGAAGAAACTTCTTCTCAGTGAGGGTGACAGAGCACTGGAACAGGCTGCCCAGAGAGGTTGTGGAGTCTCCTTCTCTGGAGACATTCAAAACCCGCCTGGACGCCTTCCTGTGTAACCTCATCTAGGTGTTCCTGCTCTGGCAGGGGGATTGGACTAGATGATCTTTTGAGGTCCCTTCCAATCCCTAACGTTCTGTGATTCTGTGAAATCCTGAGAATAACTCATGTAACCCACAGCAAATATGGAGAAGCAGGATGGGACAGAGAGAAACCAGAAGCAGCACAGAGAACTGCAACCAACAACAAGGAATGCTATTGCCTAAATCCATACTAAAGGTGCGACTGAAACCAAAGCAAGATGGTAAGACCACCCAAAAGCAGGATAGCAGAAGCCAAAGGCATTCATAGCATGAAAATTGCATATAGTCTTTTACAGTCACTCCAGGTGAGACTTCCTATCAAAGTACTTAACAAAGATGCTTATTTCTTCACTGAAAGCCCCAGTCTCCATATACAGATATACAGACACTCACATATATGCATTCGTGAATGAACTGTGTCATTATTTTGAAAATCTGACACCCAGTATTTAGCATCCAGTCATTCCAAATGCTGGTATCAACGGTGCGCTGCTTCCCCTTCCATGAAGGGCTTGATTTACCGGCAGAAGAGATGAAAGTTCACATAGGCTATTTTTGACGGAACAGAAATGACACTGAAAGCACGCTCTGTGCCCCAGTGGAGTCCTGCGGCAGAAATACATCATCATGTTTTCATTAATGTTTCAAAGGTGTTCCCGATTACACCTCCTTATAACGTACAGTGCACAGCACTGTATTTTTATGAGAGACTATGCATGCACACTGAAGCCCTGCAAAAAGAACAAGTGTCTTAGGAAATTTAGTTTCACTTAACTGCATGCAACCTTCCTCTTTCCCCTGATTTTATTTGTAGGTGCAATTCGTAAGTTACTGAATCAGTTAAACATACACAGCATTTTTGCAAGGCAATTAAATCAAGGTTTTTTGCTCCTTCTCTCCAAGAAACCCAGTTTAATTAAACCCCTCCATTCCTGCAGATGGGATGACGTTAGGTGTCATAATAATCGATCTTATAATCCTAGCTTCTGATTTACCCAGATCTCATCAGAAGCAAAGGATGTTGATATAAAATAGATCCAGCAAAGTGTAGAAGATTAGTAAAGGATTAGGTTCCATCTCTGCTTCCAAAATCCTATCTCAACAGCATTCAAAGAGCAGATGCCAAGTTTCAGCTGTGCAGTCTGTGCACTAATTAATTTCGGAAGTCAGACCAAATCAACACATGCAACGCAAAGCTGGTTGACTTCTTACTTTGGCCACCTTTTTTTTTTCCTATGAAATAATCTCCATTCACACATTTCAGACTCAGATCAAACACATTCCAGAGCTTGTAACAATTCTGGTACCTAAAAGGTTAGGACAAAAATTGCCTATTAATTCCAGAACTGAATTGCTGACTAACAACAAACTAGATCTTGAATATAATTCTTGGTCTAGTTGCATTATGGGTTATTTTCTGCAGACTACTGACTTGACTATTGTCAAGTAAATTCTGCTTAATCTGCATCAGCAAAACTGCTCCCAAGAAACCGGGTGCTATAATGACCTTTAGCTTATGTTCACTTTCATACAGACTCTCAAGTGCCAGCTACAAATATTTCTTTGGCTCACAAGAGACATCATTAGCTCTGCATATCAGCAGTCCTGCCATTCCACAGAAATGTTCGTAAGGTTGAAGCATATACATGTATCTGGGAATGATGACCACAGAGCCTGTGCACTGTCTGTATTTTGCTAGAAAGAAATATCCTATTGTTCTGCATATCTTGTCAGTCCTTGCTGCCCTTTGGGAACCACCTATGTGGTTTGGGTTGCCCTCAAAGGCTTTCAGAGAGCCTGTGATTCCCTCCCAAATCTTTCTCCAACAGACTGGTTCCAGAAAAACCTACGAATAAATTCTCTTCATATTCTTCCCCACAAAGACTCAAGCCATCATGTTCCCATGAAGAAATTAACTTATTCTCCTACCCATCCAAGTTTGATCAAAAACCTGGGATAATGGGAAGCATTACTGGTCCTTCTGCTGCACCCCAAGCAGTGCTTCCATAGCAGTCTCCAGCCACCGCTACCCTTCACCACGCTTCCTAGCCCAGCCTAGCTCCAGTTCCTCTTAGACCCTGACCCAAAATACTCCAGAAAAAGGAGGGATGGAAGAGTTTTTGCCAGGTTGCTGTGCTGCAGCAGCTCAGATGGTGTTGCCAGCAGCACCATCAGCCCAGAGAGAGGTGGGAAGACAGCAGCCACCAGCACAGGACACTGGGAGGCTTCCCCAAACTGCCGTGTGAACACATGGGTTTCAAGAGATCATGGCCTGGTGTAAGGAGTGTTTTGCCCTGCACCAGCTTTGTGTGGTTGGTTTCTTTGATTTTTTTGAAAGAAGAAACATGGAAATGCTATACTTAGGAAAACATACACAATTAGGCTACTTTTTATCAAGTTTATATCTTGCTAAACTCATTGATTTTTTTTCTTTTTAAACCCCTCTCTTTTGGAGGAGTGATATAGCAGTGACAAAAATCTAAGCTTCATCTCACAGCAGAGCCGACAAACTACTTTTCTCATCAAGCCCAATGACACTTCAGAGTGACAGGACATGAAATACTCGTTTTTCAAAAGCAGGAATACAAATACTAGAAAAATAGCAGAGAAAATGATGAAATTTCAAGTTTAAATTCTTATAGGCCAATACTCCTTTAAGAGCTTTCATGACATCAAAAGGTCTCTTTAAAAATCCTTATGCTTAATGTATTTTTAGACAAATATTTTTATGACTACAAGATGAGCAAGTTCCCCACTGCTTTAGACTGTTCCTATGGAAACAAACCCATTGGCGAACAGGAGTCCTGAACAACTCTGATGCCACTGTCTGTACCCTGCTCCTTTTAGCAGGAATAAATCACCATTCAGAAATCCACAAGTCGAGGAGGGCTGATTACATAGGGCTCAAGGACTTGCAATCAGAGTCCAGACAAAGCTCTCCAAATGAAAAGACTGAAGTGTAGGAAATAGCTAGTGGCTTACTTGCTGAACATACTTAAATCGCTTTCTATATGGAGGATGGACTCAGGAAATGAATTCTGGATTGATAAATGGATGTTACATGGAGACAGATGAGAGTCTACATATTTAATCTGTAGATCGGAATCACAGTTTTGGTCGGTATGTGTAGGTAGTGCCAATTATAAAGAAGTGATTGAATGACTTGTCATGAAAGAACAGAAGCAGCATCCAGACATGCTCTACAGCACTCAGACTTACTACTACAACTACTAACTTCTACGGGAAGCTCTCGCAGGCAGAGGAGGGAACAGACAACATTTGGCATGTATTAGCTTGCATTTTCTGTGGTGAACCAAGTAAACAAGGTGTGGCAAAGACTGCTACAGAGGAGAATTTAGCACAGAAAGGAGAGGACAGCAATTCAAATCAAGCACAGTTTGAGCCTGTGCTTCTACAGCCCGAAAGTTCCTCTCAAGATGCCAAATAAGGACTAAAATCTACAGCACAACCCCATTGCAGACAACATTTTCTTCTATCAGTCAGAGCTGCTCCAAGGGCAGACAGCTCCATGATGGAGAAGTGTCAGAGAGCGCAACATGATTCTTCAGTGATGTGAGAGAGGGATGGAGGTGCCCTGAGCTTCCGCATGCATTTTCTCTCCCCTGTTTTCAAAAGGAAAGGGAGAGGCGGCATGACAGTGCTATAAAGGCTGTCTCTGCCATGTCTTGGAAGAGACTCTCCAGGAAGTTAAGTGTCCGCTGCTAGAAATAGTTCAGAACAGGAAAAATACATGTGTCCAGACAAAACCTGGTAGGGACAGGGGCCTTGAAGGAGCACAGAATCAGGTTGGTTTTTAAGATCCAGTTCAAATCTAGTTGCTGTGATCTTCCATTGTAAGACCAAGAGTTACTCTGATCTCTCCGTATAGCAGGCATCTAAATGTATGGGATTTCTTTTGCAAAAGTAAATATGAGGTCAAAGCAGTTTGTAATCTCTACAGAACAGGAAAGTGATGAAGGATTTTAAGATGTGCAAGGGTAGCCTTCACAGGATTGATTAAAACAAGTAAAGTTTTGCCTTTCCTATAGGACAGATTGCCTTTTAACCTCAAGAGAAAGTTTCTGCTTAAGTCCCTAGGCATCTCAGTATGCCCACTATTTAGTGCTTACAGGTGAGGATTTCTGGCAAGAAATGAGCTTCCTAAAGTCACCTGCAGCATCACAGAACTCTGGTGATGCATAATCTATATTTGAGAATACCTACTGCTTGTGTGGTCAGATCTTAATGAGTGGCTAAGAACCTCAGACAGATTATTTTTATATGGCTAACTACCATGATTCATCCATTTCTATGCTCCAGGGAGAAAAACAGGAAGGAAACAGTAAGTCCTCGGTTTCATTTAACATTGGTAACGAGCATCAAGCAAGCCGTGGAAGCAGAAAAAAAACCACCTCATTCCAGTTGGAGTGGCATTTAATAAACCTAAGCAACTCTGGAAAAATAAAGATACACTCAGGAGTGGGCGGCACATGGAAGGATTAATTTGTGTTAATTAGAAGTTGCGGAGGAGGAATATTTTTTGGGGGGGAAACAGTTTCAGAATTTCAGTGAACAATGTGATAAATACTAATTAGCCAATTATTTCCCCATAGTGTCAAGCAGCTTTCAAAGCCATTTCTTCTTCTGCAACTGTCACACCTCCTGTTAAGTGGCTAAGATGCGCCCCACGCAAGCCTCAGACATAACTGTTCTGGCAGGACCAGTTTGCCTCTAAGCAGCATCACTCCTTTTGTCTTACATTTTATAAGGGCAAAGGAAGAGGGAATAGAGGCTTTTCCAGAGAATCAGGGTTATCTACATTAGACTGTTAAACACAACAAGTGTGAGACGCTGACTTGCAGAGGCAGAAGGTCAACATGCTTATGAGAAAGACTAGAAATAGAAACTATTGTGAACATTCCAGCTCCAGATCAACCACGTCATAAAGCTGTCTGTATATTGACTGTCATCCTTTTATTAAGCATAGAGGTCTTAAAACTTTACTAAGTACTTGCAGAAAGCCCAGCATTCAGTGATTCTGGTTATGAAAAAAGGACTAAGTGCTGACTATTGGGAGAGAGAAGAGAGGGAGGGAGAGAGGTACACATGATCCAAAACACAGTGATTAGTATCATCTTATTACTATAGTAACACCAAACATGAACTAACCTGGAGAACCATACTCATGTCTTGGTAACCTACATATCTTAGGCATCACTTCCATTAGGGTCTTGACATACTGAAGAATTGTCCCTTGTAACTAAGAGAAAAAAGATACGTGTAAACATGCCAGTGTTATTGAACTAAGAAATTTTACAACAAATTGCACTCAAACTACACATGCTCTAAAGAACTTGTGTTTAATTCTGTCAGTCATCATCTTCAGAAAGGCAACTTTTGTCAAATTAATACAGTTGCACTTTCCTTCATATGGCATTAGCCAGCTTTTGCTACAGGAAGAGTGGCACAACAGCTAAGGCCAGGACGGTAAAGAAAAGAGGAAATCATGTTCTTCTCTTGCAGATGGCCTCTATTGTTTAACCAACTTTTAGATATTTTAGTAAGAAAGAAGTTGCATTTGAATGCTTTCAAAAGCAGCAACAGAAAAATCCTGAGCATTAGGTATGTCTGTAACAGTTGAAACTGCCTATTCTGAACATAGCAGTAAAGAGACAGTCCCAGGCTGCAGTTTGCCTTCCTCCCACCAGACACCTCTGTCATACCTGTCTCCCCTACCTCTGAGCATCTGCATCAGGCATCAGCAGGATACCTCCCCCTAGGCCTTTTAATCTCCTTTATAAATGCCCAAGCATTCAATGCTACCTTTAACGAACTGAGATTATTTATCACTTAAATAAATACATTTTTAAAATCCAGAAAGCCCCCAAAACCCAACACTTAACCCCAAACCAGGAAAAATCTCTGTGTTTTCCTCTTTTCCCAAAGATTAGACCATAGTAACCCTTCAAGCAGGCTCCAGTCTCTCTAGAGCATTAAAAATGGGCTTAAAACATTGTGGGAATTACTGTCAACAAACTGCCCAATGTGTCAAGCGTCTGAAGTGAGATTATGAAAACTACAGCTATCTCCCAGTAGAGCTGGGTGATTTTGGCAGCATGCTCCTTACAGGCAACATGTACAGGGAGGAAAAGACCATTTCTTTGGCTTAAACTTCACTGCATATATACACAGTTACTAAGCCAGCCAGCCCCTCAACCCTCTCCTAGTTACAAAAAAAGGCCCTTTCCAATAGAAGATACCCAGGCTGTATGGATAAGTTCTTCAACATCTGGTCTGAGAGCACTCTTCTAAATAGGCTTGATGCTATCCGTTGCTGGATCCAGCACAGAGATTAAACCTCCCTTGTTATTAAGGCGTCATCTGTCAGTGATGTTATTAATAAAAGCCCTGAAGTTAGGCAAGGCAGAAAGAACGCTCCAGCTGTTCTCAAAAAATATCGAGACAGTGAATTTACAGTACAATCTCTAAGTTGAAATCAAGTCATCTGAAACATTCATAGTTTTCCAGAGTTTACCCAGGACATAAGAACATAGGACTCCGCAAATTAAATTCAATTCCAATGCAGAATCCAAGGTTTTCAAAACACTGCTCAGGCTACCAAGGCACAGCATCTACTGCGTTCACATGACATTGAGTACTCTCAAACACAGCTTATATTGAACTTAACCAGAAGTAACATTTTAATTAGTTTTATCTGAGATCTTACATTCACTTTGTTTTTCTTGAGACATTTCCTATCAGAAGCCATTTGGAATAGGAGAAAATGAAAGACTATTGGCATACCAGGCTCTTGACAACTTTCAGCAACTCCTCCATCACCACAGCAATACCCTGATACCCAAGAAGTCTACAGATGACTTTAAAGTGAGGGGGACCAACAAAATTCCTGTAGTTGCTGTAGATGCTGGAATATGCCAGATTCAACGCCTAAAACAAGAGAACACATATGATTAATGACAATTTCAGCCGACTGCGTCTTTATCATAATCTCATTTAAGCAGCATTTTAAAGCATATTAAAAATAAAATAACTTTGTATCTCTCTTTCTCTTCAGGAGAGAAAAAATACAAAGCTCCCCTTCTGTAAGGCAGAAACTCCAACCAAAATCTCTGTATTGGCAAGAAAAACTTGTAAACACTTTTTTTCACCAGGTATCTTCCATTTACCATTTATAAAGCCACAAACATTTCCTCTTTCATATTTTTTCTGTTCACACAGGTATAAAAGGATAAGAGTAGTCAATGCCAATGTTCAGATCTCTGAATTTAAAGCACAGCTTCTATTCCTACATCGTCCATTTTATGTACAAAACATGTTGAAAGAAGTGACTGCAATTCATAACAGGTTCATAACAGCTGTTTTAAGTCTCTGAGGACTCAACTAGAAAAAAAACCCTAAACCATTCTGCAGTTCCTGCTCTCTGCAACTAATTAATAAGGACTTCTCTTTTTCAAATCCCTTAGCTGTACGCAAGATCAAAGCAAATCTAAGCCTGGGATGTAACCTCATGGAAATTCTTCCAGACTCATATAAATAGGATCAGGTGCTTTGCCCTATTAACGACTATTTCTTCAAAGTGAACACAACTGCACAGGCTGCTGCTGTGCAGGGATTTAGGAACTGTTTGCTGAAGCTGCGGATCAAAGGGGAGTTGGTGAACTTAACATCCTCCACTTCCCTAAGTGGGCAGTTCTGCTAATATCCTGATATTTAATTTTCAAAGGGAATCTCGTCAACCTTTCCTGCAGAAGGTTCTGTTGTGTTTCCTTCCCTTTTCTTTTCTGCAGTTTTCAGTCTAATATGTGTGTGAAAGACAGCACACTGTTAGGCTTTCGACTCCACATACATCAGCTGTAACAGAAAATTTTCCTTCATCAGTCTCCAAGAAGAACATTGACCTTCACTTCAATGCAGATCTTGCCCTAATTATCCATGCAAGTCAATACCAGATACCGTAATACGTGGCATTACACAAAGAAACTACTAAGAATTCAAGTCACGGAACTCTACTAAGCTCTTGGAGGATTTTAGTCTCACAAAAGAAAAGGACTTACAAATCATCTTTAGAGGAGATCAGGATAGAAGATGCACATTTTTATTTATGTTGTAAATCTCCACTAAAACACCAGTTTCCAACATATTTTTGAACTGTGAACTCAAAAAAATTTAAAATTGGATACTAGACTGACATATAGTGAATGCAAATTTGGCAACAGATTAACGCTTTTTTGCCACCTTTTGTAGATGCCTTAGATGTATTTCATAAACCCTCATGGTCAAAAATTTTTGCATTATGAAAGAAATACACAAGAGCACAGCCTCAGAAGAGGCCATCTAGGTCATACCAAGAGAGAAGTAGAGCTCTAAAACCAGCTTTCTGAATCAGGCAACTCCTAACTTTAGTGAGAAACTTATTAAAACACACACACATAGAAAATTATGTAAATTTTCAACCACCACAACAATTCTTCCACAACCACAGAAAGTTATAATCAGCAATTTATTTCTGCAATGTGAAAATTCAAGAAGTTGTCAGTAATAAAATTTACTTAAAGGTTTAGTTATAAATTTTTACATGCCTAAACTTTTGTCTCCATCTGTGTGAAGAAACCATACAGCAAGACAGCCCAGCCTACAGAAGGTGGGTTTTGGGGTTGTTTTGTTTTGTTTTTCTTATCTTGAGGGTCCTGACCAAGAAGCTGACCACAAGCCAGCAGTATGTCCTCATGGCAAAGGCAGGCAACAGCCAGCAGGGCTGCATCAGGTAGATCACTGCCAGCAGGTCAAGGGAGATGATCCGTCCCCTCTGCTCAGCACGACTGAGACACACCTGGAGTACCGGATCTAGTGTTGGGCTCCCCACTACAAGGGAGACATGAAGAGACATATGGGAAAGTCCAGCAGTGGGTCCCAAAGATGATTAAGGGACTGGAGCATCCCTCCTATGAGGAAAGGCTGAGAAACCTGGGACTGTTCAGCCTGGAGAAGTGAAGGCTCAGGGGGATCACATCCACGTGCATAATTAACTGGTGGGTGGAGTAAGGATGATAAAACCAACTCTTCTCAGCAGTGCCCAGTGGCAGAACAAGGGGCAATGGGCACAAACAGGAAACCCCATTTAAACACCAGAAAAAACTCCACTAATGTGAGGGCGGTCAAACACAAAGGCAGTGGCATCTCTGTCCTCGGGGACGTTCAAGATCTGACCAAACACGTCCCTGAGCAACCTGCTGCAGGTCGCCCTGCTCTGGAGGGTCCCCCAGCTGCAGCCATCCATCAGTCTGGGAAGCTGTCTTCTAAGGACTATGGACTCGTGTCGATTTGTGGAGGAGCGCCGTTTCCAAATACTCACTCATCTTTTCTGTGAACGCAAACTAAAACAGACACTTGGCTTATTATGAGACTCCTAATACACAACACAGTCATAGAATCGTAGAATACCAGGTTGGAAGGGACCACAGGGATCATCTAGTCCAACCTCTCAAGGCAAAAGTATAGCTTAAATGAGATAAGTCAGCACCCTGTCAAGCTGACTCTTAAAACTGACCAGCATTGGGGAATTCACCACTTCCCCTGGGAGATTGTTCCAATGTCTGATTGATCTCATGGTAAAAAATATTCTGGAGTTCCGTCAGAATCTCTCCAGTCCTGATATTAGATCCAAGCTGGCTAAAAGGATAAACTTCAAATGCACCCCAGCGGATGGACAGCCTCAAGCTGCACTGCTGTAGTACAACACATGTTTGCGTAGCACTCTGCGTAGAGAGAGGGGGTCTGGGGCATCAACGGGAGAGAGAACTGGCAAAACCTTAAAATAAGTGCAGATACACATATCCGATACACAAAGCATTCACACAGCTGTCCCTAAAAGGTGAGATTTCATCTTTTGGTTTTGATGTTTCAAATCAGGTAGGTCTCCACAACAAATGTGTCCAAACTACCTATTTCAGCGATAGCAAAAGGAGAATTTTACTCCACTTGGTTAAAGCGTTTTATTGCCGTGAGGTTAAGGGGAAGGAACTCCTCTTCACACAGCAGAAATCTGACACGGAAAAGCAAGTCTTAAAACCATTCTTTCAATATTTAAAATCTCACCAATACATAACAATAACAAGGCATTTCATCTAAAAATACATCTTTCTTTAATATAAACCTCATGGGGATGTACCTGAAACAGTCCACCTGCAAATGCTGAATTAGCAGAGCTCTGTGACAGGAATTTAGAAAACACCATCACACACTGCCACTTCCCCCCCATTTATATTACACATTATTTATTATTTTAATAAATAATTATTATTTATTTTATTATGCACAAAAGCATAAAAATCCTTTGAGAAGAAGCCCCTAACAAAGTTGGAGGGAGGAAGACAAGGAAAGAGAGAGTAAGCTCTTTCTTTTTTTTCTTTTTTAAGCTCTGCTAGCTTCCTCCCCTACTTAAATTAAATAAAAAAGGGGAGAGAGAGAGAGAGAGAGAGAGAAAGAGAGAGAGAGAGAGAGAGAGAGAGAGAGTTGGTAGTGGCTGATGTCATCAAAGTGCTAACATTAATCACTCACAGCATCACTGGTACAGGCACAAGAGCATATAACAGGGACGTTCAGGCAGTGCTGTCCAAGGGGAGGCAAGCAAGAGAGGGGGGGAAAGGACATCATTTTTTCTCCTGTATGTTCTTTGAAAAGCCAGGCAATAGCACCTTTAGACAAGATGTGCTCTTGCATGAATTTCAGTGCAAGAGACAAAGAAACCGTGCCATCAGCAGCACCGGAGGAGAAAATTGAAAGCACCAAGCAATGAGGATTCAGTCCAGGGAGTCTGAGAGGAAGAAAAAGCAAACTGGCAAGCAGAGATCAGGCAGGAAATAACTCGTGTGAAAAGGAATACAGAAAATATAGTGTTTGTGTCATTTTCGCAGCAGCATCACCGCATGAAAACTGTGTTCTGAAATTTCTGTCAGGAAGTGACGGTAAGTACTGATCTTATCATCTATAAAACATCAAATGGGTTTACCAAACATTTGCATGCCAGTAATTATGTGTCTTCTAATAACTGATGCTTTGTAACAACAGAAATGTATTGTTGTTATTTAATTAAAACCCAAACATTCTACTTACAAACTGCATTGAGGATGAAACTGTTGTTTCTAAACTGTTAGGAAGCGTTCGATACAAAATAAATTATAACTTTAAGTAATTGGGATCTACCAGCTAAAGAGAAGACAAATGAGCAAGTAAAAGCTCTGATCTTAGTAATGCGCCCAATTCTAATATCTGCAGAAGTCGGGTAGATGCCAAAAGGTGTCTGTCCAATAAGTTTATTTGATAGTAAACTCACTTCCTTTATATTGTTGCTGTATCAAAAAGGGTGCATAATATCACATGATAAGAGTGGCAGCAGCTGCCCACATCAGTCATATCTAAGGTTTTACATTGTAATGAAAATAAATATACATCTTTTTCTTCCCACTTCCCACTAAGAATAATCCAAAAGCCTCAAGCAACCATTTTCATACATCAACAGCCACAGAATTCTTACTATTAATGTATTAGTAAAACTATCAAAATCCCACTCAAATATTGTATATTTTGCCAGCTTCCTGTCTAATATAAAATACAATATAAGTATTACAGAATAATTTCAGAATATGTTATGACCAAGTCATATAAGCTTTCTTCATCAGGAAAATTTTCAACAGTCAATTGTTATTTAGCCAGAAGACCTAACATATGAATTTATAATGAGTTCATAAGCAATGAAACACAGCGTTACTGTCGTGTGCATTTATGCCCATTAAAAAAGTAAGAAACTTTCACAGTGGAAAAACCTTTCACAAGAGTCCCACTGGAAACTTGACTGTTAAACTAAGAGAGAATCAGATTAAATGCTGAGGTAGCTCTTTTTCAAAAGTTACCCTCACAACAGCAAAAGC